GTACCGTACCGACCTCCTCCTCCTCCTCCTCCTCCTCCTCCTCCTCCTCCTCCTCCTCCTCCTCCTCCTCCTCCTCCTCCTCCTCCTCCTCCTCCTCCTCCTCCTCCTCCTCCTCCTCCTCCTCCTCCTCCTCCCTCTGACGCTGGTTCTTACCTGAGGTCTCGCGCTGCACCCCTCCTTGTCTGTCCCTCTCCTTCCCTCCTCCACCTCTTGTCTCCACGTGCTCTCCTCTCCTGCGCTCGCCTCGTAGTGTACTGACAGCGAGGGATGCTCTCTCTTGCTGACTGTCGGCATGCTTCATCCGACATGGCGAAGCTGCGGCTTCTTGACGATGGTGAGCGTACGGAGAGTCGAGAGAAGCGAGAGCACGTCCGAGAAGAAGATCGCTGGGTGTTCAAGAACTTTGTGCATGACGATTGCTTGTCGTCGCTGGGTATCGACGAGATGAGGACCAAGTTCTTGAAGCTGCTCCTGGTGGCCACAGCCATCTTGTTTGCGGCTCAGAAGATGAGCTGCAGCATTCCAGGCTGGTCGTGTGAGGAGAAGTACAACATGAGCCTCTTCTTTCTTCACTTCTGGGGAGCCTTCAGTGTGGACCTGCTCGTCATCTTTCTAGTCGGGCGGATGCACACGAGGAGAGGCGTGGATCAGCTCTCCCTCATCCTCCCGTGCCTCCTCGGCTCCATATACCCGTCGGCGGTTGACGAGCTTCGGTTTGCGCGGGTGTCCTTGTCCTTGTTCGAGATGTACTGCCGCTGGTCCATCGCCACCTGGCTGTTTGCGAGCGTCGAGCTACTTCTGGTAGCTGCCGCACTCTTTGCTCATTTCATCCATGCTCGTAGGACAGGCAGGCTGTCGACCCTCCTCAGCGACGCTATCCTTGGCTTCCTCCTCTTTCTCTTCCCTCAGATCGCTGACCCCGCCTTTCATCTGCATCACTGGTTCGTCGCCTGGCTGGTGGCGATGCTGGCCAGGTTCGAGCCGTACTGGTCGAGAGGCACGCAGATGTTCTTCGTCGGGTATTACATCAACGGGATAGCCGTCTACGGCAGAGACCCTCTCCTTGCGTGTGCTAACGTTGCCTTCCTCAACACCAAGATGGGATGCGGGATAGGAGAGATGAACAATGCGACCAACAACTCTCACCCTCACGTCTACGTCCCTCCCAACCTCTGGAACTGTACCGGAGACTACGCGAGGTAGGCCAACTAAGTTTTAGTCCAACACCATTAAACCCCACCCTGTCAATTTACATCGAGTTTGACTGATTTCACGTTAACCATCTCGCACGCAACATGTTGGATGTTGCTTTCTCGCAAGCCCCATCATGATGACGTCCAAGCAGAGTCAAAGCTGCAGCCTCACGCGTCCTGTCCATACATCCCACTGCACGAACGGATCTCATTCGTGGTGTACTCGAAGCACCTTGAAGACACTTCAGTACATGTGTGCCGCACGAGCTTCCAAGATCAACTCACATTCCGATCGAGCATGTATCACAGGAAACAGGACAAGCTTGGGATGCCGGCACTCCAAAGGCGTCTACGTCATCGTCGCAATACCTGCCCCAAGATTGTTAGGCACAAGCCATCGATCGAGGCTTGCACTTGCCCCATCCTTTTTGTCCAATCGGCATACACCTCACAACCCCCATACCGTGATCTGAAATCATATCTGTCCCAAGGTCAATCTCAAGCAGAAGCTGGAGGGGCAGGACTTCGTGAAAGAATGCCAAATTTTGTGCTGTGGGTTGAAGTGTGACGGTAGATCATCCGTTGGGATTGCCCCGCCGATTCACGCTCGATTCTCTGCGGCTCTGTAGGGTGGGAGCTGTTCGGGGAAAGGGAGGAAACGATATGGATTCAGGCCCAGGAGCATGAGAGAAGAATTGTGGCTGCTGCATGCTCCGTACCACGATTGTCAGGCAGACAACAAGGCATAGAGGTGAAGGCTTCAGTTCAGTTTGAGTCTCTCTGTCTCCGTGCTCTTGTATGACTCTCAGCAAGGCAGTTAGAGACGAACAGAGGCCCCCGCTGTGTCCAGTCCCACCATCATGGCTTTTCGAAGGCAGAAGAAGCTCCGAAGGTACATGCCGGACGATTGGGGTGTGCATAGGCTGCCCTTTCAGCTACAAAAACAGCTGAAATTGTATCTTTTGTCTCCTCACGTCTCAATATGCAATGCCGATGTACATCAAGTGTCGTTGGGGTCCTACAAGGAGATCCGAGGGCCTTCGGCGTGTGTCCCATGCCCCGCCAACAGCACCACCCTTGCAACTGCGAGGAATGACTCTGGGGACTGTGTTTGCACCCTCGGGCACTACCAGACCCAGGGGGCCTCCCAACACCTACGACGAGAGGAAGAGGCAGGCTGTAACTCCTGCCCTTCCTTCTCTACCTCCCCCGGGGCTTGATATCCGTCTACGAGTGCCAGTGTGATGTTATATCCCGTGCCAAGCTCGGGACGACTTGCGTGATCTGCAACAAGGGGTTCATCTACTGCATCCAGACGCTGACCTGCCTGGAATGCGGGTTGCCGTGTCCTACTGCACCACCGTGGAGGACCTCACCTGCTATGACGACTGCCACTGCTTCGCTGGATATGGGTTGCCTACTGCTGGACGGAGTGCGAGTAGTGGCCCGCTGACATCTTTCGCCCCATTTCCAACGAGGAGGAGTGCCTGTCCTGTCCCTCGGGTTCCACCACCGAGGGGGTCACCCAGAGCGACTGCCTGTGCTCTGCCGGTTACAACGGAACGGACGGCGGGCCCTGTCGCTCTGCCCTCCTGTCCCCTACAAAAACTGCGGATTCCTGCATCCAGTACCACCCCAATGCCAGTGCAACATGGTTCCACGTGCCGTCAATGATGGTTGCACTCCCTGCCCCCAGAACATGACCTCTTCGGCAGGAAGGCTCTTGGTGACTCTAGGTGCCAGACTGGTTTCGCGGGAATTGGGACCGAGTACTGCACATTCTGCGACATGGGGATGTACAAGGACTACGAGGGACCGCTAGCGGTATAGTGTTAATTGGGGGTTGTGCCTGACTTGCAGCGATGGAGAAACTACAGAGCAGCTGGGCAGCGTGTCTTCCTCAGAGTTTATCCATCTCACGGGTAACTACCGATCCTACGTCGAGCTCTGCTCTGCAATAATCAAGTGCTGGGACGGAAGCTCTCAGATTCATTGGTCCCGGTCTGATGAAGAAGTTTCTTTCAGACACAGGGAGAAGGCAGTTGCTTAAGCACCCGTGCTGGGCTCGAGCTTTTATTGAATTCAATACTCAACACATTCTAGTATGCTTTCTCATCTGCATGGTGAGGTAAGCCTACTTCATCAGGCCGCTGAACATTTGTTTGAAAGACTATTTACTTCATCAGGCCGCTGAACATCTGTTTGAAAAATTATTTACTACCACGTGTAGAACCACAAAAATTCAGCTTCCTCCATCTTGATCAAGAATGCGATGAGCAAACCTCGATCCTAGGTTGGTTGTGTCTCTACAATTCTGACTTCTCCGAAAGCATTTTTGTCGATGTTGAAATGAGGTGGCCAGGCGATCACGATGTCGTTCTTGGGAGTTGAAGAAGTGGGTTCCATTTTACAGAGAACTCCAGTATACCCGCGATCCTCAACTGCCTTGAGCCGGTCCAACTCGACCAAATATTTTGCAAGTGATGTGAAGTGGGTGGATTCAGATGAGTCAGCAAATCTGGTCAGCTTGTCGAAGCAGTGATCCATGAAATCACGATCTTCTTTTCCAGTAGTCGCACGAGCATGTTCTGCGAGCGAAGTTTGAAGCTCAAGGCTCTTTGGCTGTTTCCATAGAAGCTGCTCGGGGCTGTCGCTTTCTCGGGCTCGTTTGCTAATCGCACAGATCTTCCCGACACAGCAGGAAGCCACAATCAAGCCAGCAGAACGCTTCTCGCACATCTTGATTGCATAATCTGAAGCTGCTCCGCACGCGTGCAGAGAAGTGCCGATGTCAAAGTTCTCTTCATATGCCAGCACGTCTCCTAAGACAGTCCGAAAATTGGACAAACTCGCTTCCTGTGCTCGACGGATCCCCAAGTCAATACTGATAGGGTTGCGGTCGACACACACAACTTCCCATTCCGAGAAGAGGTAAGCAACCAGCAACCCGACATGACCTGCGCCCCCGCAGAAATCTACGAGCCGCTTGGAGGTGCCCTGGGAGGGGGCAGACAAGATCATGACGGAGATGGCTCGTAACATGCTCATTAGCTGTCCTCGCTTGCGGAGCTGTCTCTTCTCTGGAAGATGATAGAGGGGATCAACCTGCGGGACGAGTCCATCCCAACCTGATCCAGCAAAAAAATCCACCACCTTCGACTTTGCTCCGTACCTTTGCAGTAGGCACTCGTTCAGATAAGAAGGACTTGGCAGCTGATGAAGCTTGATGGTCGTTTTTGAAGAGACAGAAGACACGAGAAGCTCAGACCGGATTGTCCTCGCCTTCTTCTTCTTCCCTGGCAACTCACCTTTGAGTGGATCACTGCCAGCGCAGGCCGACATCGAGGCGTCGAGTGCAACAGGGTCCGCGCAGCTTACAATGCTTCTCTTCGTCGTGACATTGACAGTCACCGGCATGCGAGCAATGCTAGGCATCGAGCTTAATCACTGCTCACGGCAAGACACTACTACACACCTTGTAATATCGCTTGGCAACCCACCTGAAGTCAGCATTGCTTCCATAGCTTCCGGTAAGGCTCCGACCGATTTCGACCTATATAGGCCCCCGGTCAGCCGGTTACATTTTCCACCGATCCTACCGGTGTCCGTTATCGTGCGGCGCAAACCGTCTGGACAGGCTGTCCGGGCCGTCCGCGCGGCTGCTCAGTGGGGTGGGCGCTACTAGGCCCGCCGCTATGAGTCAGCCTGCTCCGAACTTTACCGGGACTCAGCGCGAGGCACGTGTTGATACTCTGACACTTTACTCAAAGTTAAGTTAATTTTCCCTTTTGATTCACCCCATCCTAACCACATGGCACTCGGCCTTGTGGCTGCTGCTCACTAGGATACCGGGCCTCGCCTTGGCTCTTCAGACGTCCGTGCAAGTCATCTCCAACGAAAATACTAGAGAGCAACTTGGCAAGGCATAACAGACACATTTTGTACCCCTAATTCTGAGGCGAGCTCGGCATACGAAAAGCGCGACCCTCCTCCTGCTCCTGCTCCTGCTCCTGCTCCTGCTCCTCCTGCTCCTCCTCGTCCTCCTCCTCCCCCTTCCTCTGGTTCTTACCTGAGGTCTCGCGCTGCACCCCTCCTTGTCTGTCCCTCTCCTTCCCTCCTCCACCTCTTGTCTCCACGTGCTCTCCTCTCCTGTGCTCACCTCGTAGTGTACTGACAATGCGACCAACAACTCTCACCCTCACGTCTACGTCCCTCCCAACCTCTGGAACTGTACCGGAGACTACGCGAGGTAGGCCAACTAAGTTTTAGTCTAACACCATTAAACCCCACCCTGTCAATTTACATCGAGTTTCGCTGATTTCACGTTAACCATCTCGCACGCAACATGTTGGATGTTGCTTTCTCGCCAGCCCCATCATGATGACGTCCAAGCAGAGTCAAAGCTGCAGCCTCACGCGTCCTGTCCATACATCCCACTGCACGAACGGATCTCATTCGTGGTGTACTCGAAGCACCTTGAGAACACTTCAGTATGCTACATGTGTGCCGCACGAGCTTCCAAGATCAACTCACATTCCGATCGAGCATGTATCACAGGAAACAGGACAAGCTTGGGATGCCGGCACTCCAAAGGCGTCTACGTCATCGTCGCAATACCTGCCCCAAGATTGTTAGGCACAAGCCATCGATCGAGGCTTGCACTTGCCCCATCCTTTTTGTCCAATCGGCATACACCTCACAACCCCCATACCGTGATCTGAAATCATATCTGTCCCAAGGTCAACTCGCCCAGTCAACCTCCATGCGCTGCTTTACCTATCAACACAAGCATCCAACGAATAGCACCCAAAGTCATCACAAATGGGGACCACGACCTATAAAGGATGAAGACCAATTATTCGTGCTTTGTTTGAATTGCTTCATCAATGAGTGGAGTGCGAAGAGATCGATGAAAACATGGTATGTTCCCCCACGAATCCGCTTTCACGCAAACGCAAGCCTTACCGCAGTTCCAGGAACAACCGATGGAGTCATCACAACAGGCCCGACCTAATAGTAGCAATGATTATATGATACGAATAGAGCGAGAGGTAAAGCAAGCTCCGTACCGACGCGTAAGGCGGGAGAAACGGAGGCAACGGAGCAGCCGCCGCAAGCCGCTGCCCCCGGAGGATCCCGACATTGCGAGGAGAATGTGCACGAGCATAACCCGCTATTCTTTCCATGGGCCTTGTGCTTCTCCCATACGAGGCAACTGCGAAGATCATGGCAACCATCGCCATCGCCGCTAACGTAACCGCTACCGTCGCCTTTGATTCCGCCATGGCAAACGCCCCCTCGAACAGACAAACCGTTACAAAATGGAGATTCTGTAACCACTCAATTGAACGTTGAAATCGGTTACACCCTGCACTTTTATAAGGCTTTTTGTGGTCATCATGGATCATTCCACCCCACCCCTTCCACAGGTACCCCTACCTACCTACCTAGCTACCCCTACCTCCTCTTTGCGGATTTCTTCTAGAGATCCACCTATATATACTACCCCTACCAGGTTGGATCATAATGAATGTTTGTACCCACCCCCTCCTTTCCTGTTTTGCACCCCCTAGCTAGTGTAACACCTCATACCACCCCGCCATGTCCCAACACGCAATCGATTACACCATCGTCACTACCCCTCATTTTCCCTCTTATTCACCCTTATGACAACCCTGTAGCCCCCACCCCACCCTACCCTACATGATTCTGTTGCTTCCCTTGAAGCGGGCCATCCCCCCCTGCGGCTGCCATGGCGCACGCTTCGGCTGCGCTGGTCATGGCGCCGCCACCGCGGGGGCGCATGGAGGAGCATCCCCCGCTCCTGGATGTAGATTACGATCCTCCTCTCTCACCTGTGGAGGAGCCAGCAGGCGTCGTGCTGCCCGATGAAGGTCAGCCTGGGGACCTCGATTCCACTGATCACGACACGCATGTAACATGGCACTCGGCCTTGTGGCTGCTGCTCACTAGGATAGGCCTCGCCTTGGCTCTTCAGACGTCCGTGCAAGTCATCTCCAACGAAATATGGATAGCTGAGGTAGCTCTTATGCAGCTTCAAACAGCAACATGCGACTGGTTCCACAAAGAAGACGTTGAATGCTTGACAATCAATGCATCGGACGAATGTGATAGAGCTTCAAACGCAAACACTCTCGAGGACTGTGAAATCACTCTGTCCAATGTTATCGATCGTTTCACTGCCACATTCCCTGCATATCCACCAACACCAGAAGAGCTTGAATTTATTGCTGCGAAGAACGATGTGTGGAATAGGGCGCTAAGGCCTGTGCTATCACTTTGCTTGTCGCAGCTTGTGCACATACATTGTCCCAGGGCCTTCATGGTGGTTCCGCTTATCACGCATCCCTTGCGTGTGGTTTCAATTCGATTGGTGCACTCGGATCTAGCGAGAGAAACTCCTAGCAAACTCTGGGACTTGTTGATCCTGTCGTTCAAAGGCAAGGACGGATCAAATCTCTTTTCTGGGCTGCTTCCCAGATTCTTTAGCTTTCTCATAATGGAGAGGATAAGAAAGATGAGAATCGAAGAAAGAATTCGACGATTCTTTCGTTCGCTTAGACAACGAAGGCATAGAGGCTTTTATGCAGAACAGGTGATTTCTGAACGCTGTATCAATTCTCTCTGACTTTAAGTTCGACAGCTGGAGAGGCTTGTTGCAGGTATTATAGACTTCTTGAGACTCTTTGCTTTGAAACTGACCTTGATTTTCGTTGCTTCTCACTGTCTTGGTTACAATAGGCTTGGTTAATGTGCTGGTGGGCACCTCCTTGTCGTATCCGCTCTGCGTCATTGAAAGAAGGATGAGCGTAGAAAAGAATTCTCCTCATCCACTGTCTTTATTTCAATTCTTTCGGTATGTTTGATCTCTCGATTCTCCTTCATACATGACTGTGATGGGTGTAGGTACGTTGGCAGACAAATCCGGGGGGAAGGATTAGGTAGATAGTGTTTTTGACTCGACGTTTGCTTTGTTCACGATTGTCACAGGATCACTTTACAAGGGAATGTCTGCAGCTATGCTCATAGCAATTCCCAAATTCTGTCTTCGCTATACTTCACGTTTGAACAAGGTTGTGTCTGAGTTAGGGACCGAAATCAAGCTTATTCGTGCCCAGGAAATCATGATGAGCTGGTTCGGAATACGATGGGGCTGGATACCGGTATTTCGCGTGTCAAGTGATTGTGAACTTCTGATTGAAAACCTTGCAGGTTCTCCCGGCAACAATCTTCTCAGCGATCAACGCTGGTCTCGTTCTTTCGACTCCTTTCTTCATTCGCGTGATTGATCGCAGGTCGTGCGAGACTGTCATTCCCATCTAGTCTTGCCGTTGTGGCTTGCAGTGTCGCAGCTCAGTGCCATCAGGTACCACAAGTTCCCCCACACTTCACGTGCTCTCTGACTTTCATGCAAGCTTCTGGTCGACCATGGAAAATTCCTCAACCGTCAGAGGCTGCTCAGGAACAGTGGTGATCGGGCACGGGCTCTCAGGCTGCCGCTTGTACGTTTCAGGTCAGACGACGTTCGAAGGACCTGGTTCCGCATGGCGTACGGGAGCGATACGCCTGATCAAAATCAGATCGTCACCGAAGACGGGACCTTCGACTCTGTGGATGAAGTTACTGACAATCCCATGACGAGGGAGAGAGACGAAGATGTCAATGACATCTCAAACCAGTTAACGACAAGCTTGTCAGATTATTACAACGGTCCTGAGCATGCAGATCATTCGCCCAACTTCATCAACAAGATGCAGGCAATGAGAACCATGTACCTCAGGACTCGCAACTTCGCAGACCACAACCCTTTGTCCTTGGTGGTTGATCCAAATAATGTGCTTGCTTCCACGTTCCTGCTGCTAGAAGCTATTCCTGCAGAGGTTGGCGATGATCTTGGAAGCTGTAATGCTGATCCTGAGAATCCAGGTCCTCGTCAATCGGCCAATTTTTGTCCGTCTAGAGGGGCAGGATGGAGCTGATTGGGGAGGAGTTCGTCGCTCGTGGATTGCAAGGTCAGCATGATGTGGGGAGTTTTCGCTCTGACCAGGGAGATAGAGTGGCGCAAGAGCTCTTCGATCCGAGGTTCGGCCTTGTGCTGGCTGTGTTTGGCAATGGTAAACGCGAGTCGCTTCCTTTTGCTGTGAGAATGACCCTGAGTGCGACGTGTAGGCGGGGAAGCGACAGGGAAGCTGATCATCAATCCAGCTCCGGGGCTGTTGTCTTATTCGGATGGCTCGCATGAAGCGGAACACGACTCGACTTGGAACGATCGCTACTACAAGTTCATGTCTGCCAGCCGATTGTCTTGCTGACCGAGAGCCTTACTGATGCTCCAGGGGGAGACTGATGGCCCTTGCGCTCATCTCAGGAGATGTGCTTGGAGTGAACATGGATTCCGCCTTCTACAAGTTTCTGATGATCCGCGACAACCTCAAAGTCATTGTATGAGCTGCCGCCCTCTCACTGGCTATATCCGGCAAGTCCCTGACTGTCCTGGGTTGCAGGCCTTTGCTCCCACGCAGATGAATTCAAGTGCAGAATGTGAATTCATCGCCAATCGTTACAAGCTCCGTCACATCATGGTCCTGCTCTCGTTCTCTTCGCCGTGCTGTCTGACAATCTTGACCTTTCAGGTTCTCAAGCTGATCAGACATCACCTGGCGCATTCGACGCCTGAAGGAAATGCTCTGAGGCGTATCATACGGAACATCTTTGACTCGAAGTTGTCGTGCCATGAATCGGCAGAGGTGAAGGCGACGAACTGCTCTGCTTGACTCGCTGATCTCCTGGACTTCAGTTCATCTTCTGCGTGCTACACGGAAAGGAGAAACTCTGGGCCGACAAGAGGCTTCACAGCTTTCCCTTTCTCAATGAGTCAGAAAGTTTTGACGTTATGAGATGTGAAGACACCAGGAAGCAACTCACGACCATCCTCCTTTCCATCCTCTACAACAAGTTGAAGCAACGCCGCCGCCATGAGAGAGGCTGGGTGCTGGAAGGCATGCCGCATCGGAAGGTGAGCGGACAAGGCTCAAGGGCAGGGTTGACTGATAGCTGAACCCCGCAGGACTTTCTAGAGATGTTCTTCAGCAAAGGCGAGGCTTACCTCCCGAAATGTGCAATCATCTTCAAACCAAAGAACCTGACCGTAAGCTTCACTCCTTGAATTGCCAACAGCCTCCCTCTCTTGAACGCTGGTGAGCAAGACGACAGGATTTCGACGATTCTTCTGATATCTCCAAGTTGGTCTCTCACTCCAAGAAGTATGAGGTGCAGACAAGCAACCTCCATTCTCTCTTGAGGGCTGATGGTGTTCCAGGTCTACAATACGGAGTACCTGGCTCAGATAGGAAGTTTGATCAGCCTCACGAAGAAGTGGCAGGTCGACGATCCTTGTATTCTCAAAGCGCGACTGAAGCTTCAGTAGATTCCATACTCGGTGGTCCAGTCGAGCCATTTCTGCTTTTGCTCGTTGCTGCGGAGGAAAGCACCAGAGAGTGACTGGGAGCAGGACACAGTCGAAGTTGAGCTAGACGTGGAGATTGAAAACAAGTTTGCAACCACCCAGAGCAAGAGTCAGACTGAGACAGAAGAGGTCGACAAGCAGAAATCAGATGATATCAAACTGGACCAGAGCACGGGATGGAGCGAGATCGATTGCTGTGAGGCGAACTCAAGTTTGCAGGCAGAAAACTTCGAGCCCTGCGATCTTGTGCTCGAGGGGTCGAATGCGACGATGATCCGACAGGATGCGGCGCATCTGCGGGCCCACGAGGTGCCTGGCGTGCTGGTGGTGGACGAAGGCCGATCATTTCACATCAACCCGGACGAGACTCGTTGGGACCTTTTGAGCCAGCGCCGGTACGTTGACCCCCCACCCCCACCCCTCCACCTCAACCCTCCTGTGCGCCTCTCACTGCTTGTCTTCCAGACATTCTTCGCACTTGGGCGTAGATGACGGGAAGTGTCGGTACGGGTGCTCGAGCAGCCTGGCAGATTCTTGTCCCTTTCCAGGTACTGGAGCGAACCGAGAGAGAGGAACTGACAGACGAATGAGGGACTGAGAGGTGAGGGAGGCTGATAAAATGTGACAGATGTTGTGCGCGACGTCTATCAGTTTGTCGACTCGGTGAGATGGAGTGACGTGGAGCAGCCGGGGCTGGAGGATCTGCTGCAGTCGAACCCTGCGGAGTACTTCAAGCTCGGTGACTCGCCCCCGTTGCCCTGCCGGTCTGACCCGAAGCTCCAGCAAAGCTGCTCTCTCTCGGACGAGAAGACTTGCAGAGATGGGTTGATGAAGGACAGGTGCGAGCTCGTGGCCCTTGCTCATGGCCCCATGCCGGCTGATGCAAGCGTGTAGATGCGATTCGTGACAACGAGCAAAGAAGCTCGCGTTGCTCCCCTGCTGGGGGTCCCGATGTCCTCCCTTTCTCAGGTTGTGCCTGAAGTTCCGTGAGGAGCCTGGAAGTCACTGGGCGAGCAGGTTGAGAGTGAAGTGCTGGGAGGGTTCGGAGCAGACGAGCTGGTCGCTGCTGAGGTGCGAGGAGGTGCGGCAGGGGCGACGCGTGTGTGAAGTTGTCGAGCAGACGCTCAAGGACTACGTGGACCTGGTGTGCCACAAGGAGATGGTGGAGGATGTCACCGAGCAGATGGCGAAGGTGGAGAGACCTGGACGAGTCGCGGGTTGCTGACGTGTCATGTAGATACGGCAAGGGTTTCACGAGCTTGCTCCTCCCTCCATCCTCGGCAAGTTTCTCAATCCCCTCGGTGAGTCTCGTCGCTGCTGCTCGCGGCCTGACGTGCTTCGAGACCTCGAGAAGTGCATCGCGGGCGAAGCGCACATCGACGTGGATGACTGGTGCCTCGACGAGCCCAGCTGACCTCTAGCTGACCCTGCTGCTCAGGATGGCGAACAGCACGACCAAAGGGTTCGACAGGGAGGCGCCGCAGCCTTCTTGGTTCTGGGAGTTCGTCGAGGAGAGCAACCAGAGCTGGCGGAGGAAGCTCCTCAGGTCTCTCACCCTCCCCCCTCCTTCTTTCCCTGACCAGCTGCCCAGCTGGACGACTGGGATGGTTCGCCCCCCCCCGGGAGGCTTCTCGCAGATGCCGCACGTGTTCACCATCCAGAGCGACCCAGACCTCGAGCACCGCGACAGGCTTCCCGTCGCCCACACGTGCGGCTTCCAGCTGGATCTTCCGCTCTATCCCAGCAAGGAGGTGAACTAGAGCTGGACTGTTGCTGAGCTTCTGCTGAGGTCTGTTGCAGGTGCTGGTTAGCAAGATGACGCTGGCAGTGGAGTACGAGAGTGACTTTCACTTGGTGTAGATGAAGAGGAAGGAAAGACTTGCCTACTTCACTTTCACTTAAGGGAAAAGAGGCAGAGGGAGCGGGGGGGGGGGGGTCAGCAGAAGAGAGAAGGAACGGCGGGGGGAGCAGTGTCAATCTGTGGCGTAGGGAGCAACCAAGCTGGAGGTCGAGGCCCGAAAGGCGCTGGGCGCTCGTCCCTTGGAGGTCATGCTGTCGATGTCCCACGAGTTGCGTTGGTTGAAGAGCTTCTTGCCCGTCCTCTGACCTTCACGTCAGCGACGCCCACAACCTTCATCCCTCACCGGCGTCTCCACCGTCGAACTCTCCTGATCCCATGCCAGCAAGTCCCCGTCAGGTCGCGCTCGCTGGGGCGTCGCTTCTCTGCTCGAGGGAGCAGATGTCTGCCTCATGGCTCAGCTCTCGCCGCAGCCTCAAGACTCACCGCTGCTCTTCTCGGTGTGGACGTACGGCTGCGAGGACGCCCGACATCGTCCTCGGTGTCGGAGGAAGGGTCGTAGCTGCCCCACCACGAGGGCCTCGATGAGCCCCGCTGACGCGGAGCAGAGGAAGACCGGCTGGTGTCTGAGGCAGGCTCAGTCTCTCGAGTCTTCTCGCATCCCTGATGTCACCTGCCCCCTTCTGCTCTAACGGCAAACCAGCTGGACGTCCCGGGGTCGAGTAGCCTCCCCACTTGCCCCTGTGCTGCTGCGCGACGACCGGAGGCTCCTGACAGTCGACAGACATTTCTCCTGCAGAGCTGAAGGAGAAAGTGAAGAGGCGGAACAAGCGCAAGGGAACAGCGCAAGCAAACTGGAGGGGAAGGGGCAGGGAGGGGGAGGAAATGAGAAGCATGGATTACCTGTGCTTGGACATCCATGAGGAGCCAGGGATGCAGGACCCATCAACCTCTATGGGCTTGCCCGCAGCTTCTTCATCCCATTTGATCGATGAGATCGATCGTCTTTGCCTGCAGCTGCCCTCAGCTCTTTCGTTCAGCTAACGACAAAGAGACCTTCGCTTCCCCGATGTGAGCTCAACAGAGAGCGAGTTCCAGTCTTCACACTGCGGGATGCCGACATCCATGCTCTTGTCGGAGAGCCACGGCGCTCCTTCGACCCCCAACTTCCTTGGCTCCTGGCCGTCTGCAAGAAACGGCATTGAGCAGAGATGACGACGGGCGTCACTACCATGAAAAGTGGCGATGCCCTTGGAGAACTTCGAGAGACCCTCGACGGAAGAGGAGACGTATCTAGAGGGGAGGCCTTGACTAAAAAACTGTGAGACAAGACAAGACACGAACGATAGCGTGACACCTGACTTGCAGGAAGTGACTGACTCGACTCGACTCGTCGGCACTTTGTTGCTCCCACGGGGGAAGCAGAGAGACATGCTTTTTGATCTCAAGCTCTGCGTAGCTACCAGCAGGAACCTGTCTTGACATCTCAGTTGCTTATGCTCTCGCCATCAAACGAGATCCTGACGTTCTCAAGTTTGACGTGCTGCCTCTGTCTAAACAATCCCGTTGTGGTTGAGCTTCTTGACTTGGAGAGTTCTCTCGAGACCTCTGTAGCCCAGCGATCATCAGTCCTCCTCTCAGTCTTTCTCTCGCATTCACCTGCACTCTGCATGGCCGTGTCGACATTCGATTCCGACTCCCAGGGAGCGCAAGAGGCCTTCACGTAATCCGCCTGCACGAGACATGAGCTATCCTGCCAGGGGCTTCTCATCGTCCTACTTTTTTTCCCTTCTGCCGGGAAGCATCGCACATGCCCAAAGCTCCGAAAGGGTCGATGAGAGTGTCGATCTCGTTGCTTGCTTTCTCGACCTTCACCACCGACGTCGGTTGATGCATCGGGTTCTCAGCCGATACAGGATGCGAGCCCTGCGTACGGATCCTTCGCTGCCCCTCAACCTGCTCAGAGACCTCAGGACCTCCCTACATCGCTTCAGCTAGCAACCTCGTGGGACTCGAACCGATGAATTTCTGCAACATGACGAGCAACATTCGCAGTCTTAGTGTCCTGCTGAAGCTGATTGAAGTGCTGCCGTTGCTTCTGAGTCCATGGTCTACGACAAACAGATCAGAACCCAAACAGCAAGTCGATTTGCTTCTCTCAGTCTCCACACATATGCTGAATACATGCACACACCTGCCGTATCGATCTAAAGTCGCTGGCACGCCCACTTCCACTTCCAACATCGTAACTCCTCTATGCTCGATCTGCCGTCGGGCAGGTTTGAAGCTCGCGTCCTCTCCCCCCAGAAGCGACTTCATGTCTGTGATGTAGCCTTTTGGCGCAGATGCCACTGATGCTCTTGCTCGCTGACCCTCCACTTTGACGCCGTCATCCAAAATAGCGGCACCCGTCATATGTCCTTTGATACTCATCATCACTTCCTGCGACATGATCTTCCTTTTCTCCTCCTCTCCATGCCCGACAAGAAATCCTCCGTTTGCTCCCAGAGAAGATCGCACCATCTCCCCTCTGATCGCTCTTTTCGCCTCCTCATTCCTTTCCACCTTCACTGAAGCTCCAGCCCCGTCAAGCTTGCCAGCGCTTAGTCCTGCTCCTTCCACAGCTTTCCTTCCCTTTCCTGCCTCTGGCCTTACCTCAGCTTCGGATCTCGTTCGTCCTATGCTGTGAGGGTCAGCAGGTGCGTGCATCTTCTTCCCACGCCCGTCGCTTCCTCGAGCTTCTTCGAGGCGCTCCCGGGCGGTTCTCAGCTGACGAGGGCTGTGCTCGAACAATCTGCTCACAACACTGCCAGAGGAGGCAGACAGAGGGCGTTGGATGCTTGCTCTTCCAGCAGGAGAGGAGGGAGGAAGGAAGGATCCCCCCATCCCCCTGCTCCTCTTCATCTCTACAACGGTACGCGCCATGTCGATGCTTTGACCCGGAGCTATGACCCCACCCTTCAAATTTCGGGACTACCCACCCTACCTTCGAAGCCTACCCCTGCTTTTGATATGTTGGATGACCCTACCCTTTGACCATCGGACTCGGGAACTGTGGGCTCACAATCAAAAAGAGTACCCCACCTTGTTATCTTTGTACCCCTACCCCCCTTGTCTACTATAAATTCTTTCAAAATATACCCTAGAGTGATCACCCCCACCCTCTTGTTTGGAGGCGACCTAACGGTACAATCCCTTTATTATGGTTTGAGAGGACAGTAAGAAAAGAAGAAAATTAAATAGAGGATGAACTAGCGAGGAAAGGGCAGCAGTTGCTCAGTGATCGGGCTCGCCTCGCTTTCTGTGTTTGCAGGTTTTCGCAGCCGACCATGCAAGTGAGTTTGCGTGCAAGCGAGGTGAAAGAGAGAAAGAAGAGAAGGAGGAGGAGGAGGAGGAGGAGGAGGAGGGGGGGGGGGGGGGGGGGGGGGGGGAGGAAAAAAAAAAAGAAGAAGAGGGGGAGAGAAGAAATAGAAGGGAAGAGAGAAGAAGAAGAAAAGATGTTATCGAAACGAGGGGAAGAGAGGATCAGAGATGAAAGAGACAAGGTGAGGGGGGGGGGGGAGGAGGAGGAGGAGGAGATGATAGAAGCAGACCGACATTGTTGAGGGGTAGGGGAGATGAAGATCAGGAGAGAAGGTTAGGGGTTGAGAGAGGAGGCAAGAGCGACTATGCTCATAATGTGGTGCCCGGGGCGTGTGTTATCAACAGGGAGCAGGTGAGCGGGGGTCTGGATAGAGTAGAAGGAAAGAAGATGGAACAAGAAAGATACAGCAAACGAGGAAAGCAGGAGAGGAGGCGGCATGCCATGAGAAGTCAGCGGGTTAACATGAGCACTAGCAGCAGCTCCTCAGGTGTCGCAGTCTCTTTCAAGGCCTTCAGCGGTGCAGGAGCTTGTCAACCACTGGTGAGGGAGCACATACGCTGGAGTTGCCATGGCAGCAGGGTAGATCAGTGTACCGGCAGCTGCTGAGAGCAGCGCAAGTTTATCCGAGCAAGAAAAGACAAGCAATCTACCAGGACATCCGTGCTGACTTCAAGGTGAACGACAAGTGGGAAATCTCCCTCCCTCCCTCCTTCTGTCTTCTTCCCCCCTTTCCTCTCATCCTTCCCGCTTTCATTGCTTGCTCTCTTAGTCAACATTGGGTGCAGGAGCACAGGGAAGAAACGAGCGAGAAGAAGCTGCTGGTGTATCGCAGTCAGGCGCTCTCAGGGCTCAACGCTCTGCTGCAGTTCAAGGAGCAAGCGAACAGCACCAACGTTGAGGTGCCTGCTGTACTGTATGAGCACTACCGACTCACTGCCTCCTCCAGTTTCGACCCGTCACACACCCTGACCCGCGCACTAAGCGAGATCCTTGAAGCATAAAGCTACGCTCCTCCTCTCCTCCTCCTCTCCTTCTCCTCCGCACCTGCACCATCATCCCCATTCTTGTCTTGATCTAGAGATCCGGCCAGCAACAGAGGCCGACGACGGTGGAGGAGGTCAGTCCTCCCCACTTTGTCAGAGCTCCAGTGTTGTCAGGCATCTGAGACGCAGGGCAGTCGACGACGGAAACTTCGCTCCCCGTGCACTGCACGCCCTCCAGCCACACGCGCGCCTCGCTCCCCAGCTTCTCCTCCACCACAGACCCGCAGGCTGCTCCTCCGCAGACCACTGGTCGAGCTCGCAGCCCCAGCGACCGGCAAGCGACTTCAGCTGAGCGCTGCGAGAAGTCACTCGGACCCACGTAACCCCATGTCCCGTCGTGCTGAACCTGCAGCTTGCACCCAGCCGTGCTGCAGTCCAGCAACCTCGTGTCCTTGGTGGAGTTCCCCTGCTGGAAGCAAGCTGGCAAGGAGCACTGCCCCCACACCTGCAGGAAGGGCTGGGAGCAGGAGGTGCATTGGGTGCCAAACGGGATGCAGGCGGTGGGAACGAGAGGCCCCATGATCGCTGCTGGTCCCTCCCCCACCCCGTTGATCGCTCGCACGCGCACGAAGTAGCCGATGCCGTTGACGAGGCTCCCAATGCTCCTCGAAGTCTCGTTGGCTGGCACGAGCAGCTGCAACTCGAGGAGGGAGAAGCTCATGTTGATGCTCAGCTCCACGCTGTAGCTCACGATCGCCTGACCCCCGTCCTCCGACGGAGGTCTCCACCCGATGCTCACCTCCGTGTCCCCTACCTGCCCCGACTGGCAGCTACCCGCTGCGCCTGCGCCATGGCAGAGAGCGCTGAGGTCCGTGACAGCAGCTGGAGGCTCGAAGCCCGGGGTGACAAGAACGTAGCTGGACGGCTGGGAGCCGCCCTGCGCATTCTGAGCGACCAGGGCGAAGGCGTACTGGATGCCAGTGAGGAGAGGGCGTTGATTCTGATCGCCAGTGACGAGAAAGCGAAGGGTCTGAGAAGAGGAGGAGCGGAGGGGAGGAGGCGATCGACGTCTCGATGTTGTCGCAGTGATCGGATAGTCGTCCGCTCCTCCAGGCGGCAGCACCCCGACCTGCAGGGTGGGACCGGGCTGAAGCAGAGCCCAGCTGCCGAGAGGGCTGGTCTTGTTGGTGATGTAGAGGAGGTAGCTGAGGATGGGCGACCCTCCGTCCTTGCTGGGGGGATCCCACGCCAACCACGCGCGCAGGTGACCAGCTTTGGCCCGTCCTGCCTGAGGCCTGTCGGGGACTGTGACCGTGGGTTTGATGGGAAGGCTTGTCCTAATAGTCGAGCTCGACCCCAGCTGATTGATGGCAGCGACTCTGAAGTAGTAGGAGATGAAGTTGTTGAGATTCGAGACCAGGATTGATGTCGCGTTGCTCCCTGTGCTCCTCGTGACCCATCGGTAGCTGCTGTCCCCGATCGCAAACTCCGCTTGCTCCACCGCATACCCGCTGATCGCAAGCCCTCCCGTGTCTACCGGGCTCCTCCACACAAGCTTCACCTGCTGGTCCATCGCAGTGGACCCGAGGTCTGTCGGGGCTCGCGGCTCGCGCTTGGGGATACAAAGGAAGGCATCAGCTGAGGAGACGTAGCATAAGGCAGGGGGATGGCACACTTGCGACACGTTTGCGCAGCAGAGGTCAGCAGTAGAGGAAGGGGCAAATCGATTTCCCCCGGGGTAGCAGCGCCAGGGCTGCTTGAGGAGCAGCGTCGATGAGCCCGAGTACGAGGCGGGGGAAGGGAAGACAGCAGGGAGAGGATTGCTCGGGGGCCAGATGGCGTTGAGCAAGGAGCGCATGCCATGAAGCTTTAGATACCCAGCGAGCCCTTCCTCCCCCGCGTTGACGAAGTTGATGACAGCAGACCGGATAGTGAGTCCGAAGGAGGTGCTGACGGTGACCTTGAAGCGAAGGAAGACGACCGGGATGCTGGCTCGCAACTCGAACGCTTCCTTCCTCCTTGCCGGCAAGGCATCTTGAGTGGAAACAGAGCCCTGCAGGAAGGAGATCAGCTGGAAGGAGTAGGCGACCGGAGCAAGCGAGCGGTTCTGGAAGGCAGCAGCAAGCAGACGTATGTCTTGATCCTGCAGGTTCGTGATCCCCACCAGCATGATGGTCCCCCTCACGTCTGCACTCTGCTGACTGGCAACGTACTTCCCTTCGCCGCACGCGAACTCCATCTCCTGCCAGGGATCTGCAAGGCCAGGGCGAGCGCTGAGGGAGGCTGCCGGGAGGAGGGAGGAGCAGTTGGAGAAGAGGTGGCACCAACCCCCCCCGTAGGAGATACACTGGCAGCTGGAGGACAGCAGGCAGGCAGACTCACAAGAGGCGAGGGTGTGAGAGTTGCCGCACAGTGAGAGGCCGAGCTGGGGAGGGACGAGGTCAAGCGCGTCTGTCTTCATGTAGCTCTCGAGCTGGCAGGTCGCGCTGCATCCGTCCTGGTTCTGGTTGTTGCCGTCGTCACACTCCTCGAAGGAAGAGAAGCGAACGCCGAGGGCCTCCAGGCTCTTGTTCTGCCGCACGCCATCCCCGCATCCCCTCCGACGAGGCGGCACGGAACATGCGCAGAGCACAGAGCAGATGAGGTCCTGCTGGGTCGTGGGGAGCTGAAATCCTAGCGAGGTGGCAAACAAGCAGCGAGAGAAGCAGCGACAGGCCTCGCACTCGCTCTCCCCAACGCCGCAGATTGTCCACGTGAGAGGAGGAGGAGGAGGCGAAGAGGAGAACACGAGCTTCCACACACAGAGACCGATGGCGAGGCCCACGAGCAAGAAAGCGGCCAGGAGGATCGGCCACCTGCGGCTGGTTGAGAAGAAGATCAAGACAAGTTCCCTGACCTCCAGCTTCGCGACGCTGACGGCTGCTTGAGGGGGGAGGAGGCAAGCTTCAACCCCTCTACCCACATGCGAAGAGCATTTTTGCTGGTCGTGCGACAAGTGAGAGCGGAGGGACCGGAGGAGACACGGAAGGTGTCGGAAGACACTTGGGAAACTTTCGAACCGTGGAGATTCAAAATGCCGACGGGAACCTGCTGGGCGTTCAGAGAGGGAGAGAAGGAGAAGAGACTTTGCCTTGCCCACGTACTCATACAGGAAGCGAGAAAAGGGATCGAGAACAAACACCCGAGGCTGCCAGTCCGGCTGAGCGGCCTCCTCCTCTCCCACGAGCTTCATAAGCTGCTCCTGCTGCAAGCTCAGACGCCGCCAGCTTCTCTCCTCCCACCTTCAGCACTCGCAGGTGCTCCGGTACTGGTCGAGTCCAGCTGAACTCAAGCTTGAGCTCGCTTCGAACACCCGAGCTGTGTTTGACGTCCCCCCCCGCCAAAGTTTTCAAGGGGAACCAGGAGGAGTGAGGAGAAGAGGGCGAGGAGAGCGAGCGAGGGGCGGAGAGGAGGGAGGAAAGAGGGACCAGCACTTCGCCGATCAGCTCCGTCGCGATGAAACCTTTGTGAAACATCCGCACGCTCAGCGTTGTCTCCCGGCTCTCCGACACGCCGAAGGTGAAGTCTTCCTCGAACTTTGCGTGCTCTCCCTGTGCAATCACGCTGACTCGCTCACTTGAGCAGGGAAGGAGGCTGGTATGCTCGAGCTGTTCGCTGCTGGTCCACGCGCAGGCGGAAGAGTCTTGAAGTTTCAACACACAGAACGCTCTCGTCCATTCCAACGTTGGGAGGTGGGAGGCCTTGACTAGACGGACGTGGAGGATGGCGGACGGGTGCTCGTCAAAGTCTACATGTACATCAGACATGCTGCTCGAGCGCTCCTGCTCCATCCCTCCAGCTCTTTTGCCTGTCGAGGATTCTGCAGCAGCCTCCTTGCCTTGCCGGGCCGGCCCGAAGAGGCTCTTAGTCAAGCTGCGCTCTTTCCGCTCATTGATGGACGAGGCTTTAGCTTCGTTCTGCTCAAGCTGCTTATCTTCAGCGAAGCTTATTTTGATAGCGCGATACTTGAAACGTAAGAGGCAACTTTCGTCTCGGATACTCTCTTGGAGTTCCCTGAGGATGGTTGTTTGCTCTCTCGCGTCTCTTGCTCGGCTGTCAGGCCTCACGCTGAACTCAACCAGCACTGAGCCTTCCTTGAGCGTCAACACTTTCACCCTCTCAGCGTCAAGGTTTGCTGCCACTGCGATGCAGAACTGAAGGTCTTGCTTGAGCGTCGCCCTCCTGCTCAATAGTCATGCAACTCCCCCTCACACTTCAAACCTCTCACTTGCGAGGTTCTAAGGGCACCAGCTCCTCGAAGTCAAAGTCCAACGTCATAACAAACCTCGCCCACTCGCTCCGCTTGCTCGCTGCCTTCATCGCATCGCTGACGCTGTTGGGGTCGACCAGCTCGTAACTGGTGTAATTCAGAGAGCTTTGTGCGATGAGATCCTTCATGTAACTGTCGAACTGGCTCTGAAACTTCTGCTCTTCCTCCACGTTGCCCTCCTCCACCTCTCTGCTAGCTATCGGGTTCTCGGAGTCCATCAGGGAAGTTCTTAGATGCTCCGTGTACATCTCAAGGGCCTGCAAGCTGCTGCGCATCTTGGCGATGTACGGATCCATCTCCTCCCTGCTAAGGGTCAAAAAAGGCTCGCGGGCAGCGAGAGGCTGGTACCTCTTCTGGGTGTCGGAGTCCAGCTTCTCCACCCGGACCTGTTGTGGGGGGTACAAGGAAGGAGGCGTGTGAGGCGAGAGAGTACTAGTATGCTTGACGAGGAGAAGCGAGTCTGGCTCGTAGGGGAAAGGATCATGAGAGACAGGGGGCGGCCACTCAGACATCCACGTGGGTCGCTCCGACGCCATATTTCAAAGTTGCCGGGCCTGAGACGGTGGGCAGTCAGTTAGTTACTGTCACTAGTGTTATCGAGTATCTCCTCTCTCATCTCCTCTCCTCTCCTCTCCTCTCCTCTCCTCTCCTCTCCTCTCCTCTCCTCTCCTCTCCTCTCCTCTCCTCTCCTCTCCTCTCCTCTCCTCTCCTCCCCTCCCCTCCCCTCTCCTCCCCTCCCCTCGCTCGTTTCCGTCAGTCTCAACTCGCATTTCTCTAGTTCAAACTTTGACCCAGTCGACCAGAACTGTTGAGACTCATCTCCCTCATACCGCTCACTGCCCTCTTGCCCTCATCCCCCCTCATCCCTTTTCATCCTCCCTCATCCCAGCCCTCATCCCCCCTCTTCACTTCGCCTCCGTCAGGTTTTTTGGTTTTCAGCCGGAGATTTTGCGGCAGGAGGAGGTCGAGGACGAGGATCTTCGAGTCATCCAGCGCGCCGCAGCCCATGAAGCTTGTCTTCAACTTGCTTCCTCTTCTGCTGCTCAGTTCATCCCCTCACAGAGTTGAACCGTTTGCAGTCCCGGCCGTATCATTCCATGTTGCCAGTCAGAGTTTAAAAAGGTTTCTGCGAGGTCCGCTCAATCCGACCTGAGGTTTTGTCAGGCCGTCTCTACGGATCTTTCAACCTTCGAGATCTCCTCGAAGACCAGAAGGCCTCAAGTCATTCGCCTGCAGCCTTGTGCCAAACCTTGAGTGCGTTCAAAACATACGAGACTTGTCCTCCGTGACTAACTCTCCAGTGAAGCCCGGAAGGTAAAGAGTCGATCCGTTGTCATGAGCTTGCATGTAACATGCTTCATTCCTAGAGTTTTCAGAACGGCTTGCGTGGGTACAGCAAGTGAGAGCGATGCTTGTCTGATAGTGGAGAATATCAAGACTCTCATTGATTTGAGATCGGAGAAGGAGTACGGCATGGACTCGGTCAAATACAACAGCAGCGTGTGGCAGCAGTACGATGATCTTATTTACGAAGTCAAGAAGTCGAAGACCGGCAAGCCTAAAGCTCTCATTCCCTCTTCTCCGGCGAAGGAACCAATGCGCGCGAGACACATGCTGTCAGTCATAGATGAGGCCATCTACAAGCGAGGAGTCTTCAAGCGGATGAGCCTGCGCAAGAAGATTAAAGCTGGAATCTACAGGGCCGTCAGCTATACGAAAGCTCGATCATTCTTCATAGAGTACATCAACAATGCAGGTTTGGCTCGAGATGGGCGACTCGTCCTAAAGCCTGTCTAGGTCTGCCACTGCTGAATGAATTGATTCTCGACTACGGAGGTCCCTCCATCAAAGCGGTCATGCAAGTGGTGAGTCAGGGAGGAAAGTGATCCGAGACGTTTTAACGGCGAGCAGTTGTCGGACCGGGCGAATCATCCTGTTGCGTGCGTTGCACTTCGAGAGGTTGACAGGTGGTTTAAACAGCTTTGAATCTCAGGTTCTATTGCACTGCGGGGAAAGATCGTACAGGATTGATCGCAATGCTTGTACGTTCCTTTGGTGATGATCGTGTGGATGGTTTTGCATGACATTCATGATTAGGTGCTCTCAGTCTTGGGAGTTGATAACGAGGCTATAGTGAATGACTATGTGCTGTCAGACGACGTCGGATTGTGATGAAAGCAAGCCTGTCTTAATTGCTGTCGCTCAGGTGTATGCGAACTTGGGTGACAAGAATGCCATGGTTGGAGCGCTGAGACAAGAGCAGGTAGCACATCACATCCCTGTTCCCATAACTCTCCTAACGATACGGAAGCTGGACCCTGAAAAGTTTCTTCGTGCACCTCGTGCGGTCATGGAGCAAACAATCAAACTTCTCAAGGAGGAATACGGAGGAGCCGCCAAATATTTGGAAAGTAAGTTAGATCGAGGCTGCTCTGTCATCGTCTGAGAGTTGCACAGGCATAGGGTTCGGTCCGGATGAAGTGAAGAAATTGCGGGTGGCCTTATGCGATGACTAGCGATAAGAAGAAAACTCTGACTGGTGTTAGAAACAAAAATGATTTCTCTAAGCAACAAGGCTATGTTAGCCGGCGAAGAGATCTCGCGAGAAAATCGTTTCCATGGTTTCATAAGCGCAAGCACATGGCCGTCTTGTTCGCGCACGCGATCGCTACTTGAGCCCAGGCAGCAGAGACTCAGCAGAGCGACGAGCTCCTGAACAAGTTGACAAGTCAGGAGGATGAAGAAGGAAAATCAAGTCGATTAGACACCGTGGAAGTATGATGTCCCCTTCCACCTCTCCTTCTGATACATCTTCATGGTGCGCAGCAGAACGCAAGCTAAGCATCTGCAGTAGAAATCAGAAGATACGAACCAAGATGCGCACGAAAACTTCACGTGCAAATAATCGCGATCGTTGGAAAGGCGTAGTGTAAGACATATGTATCGAAGAACGGTGTGGCTTCATCAGGGGGCAGCTTCTGTGCTCCATACGCACTCTGCAAAGAGAGGGGCGGTTGGAAAGAAAGACAAGAAGAAGATGAAACCAAACACATGAGAGGGAAAAAGAAATCACCTGCTGAAACTTCCCCCGTCTTCCGCGCATCCCCCGACCAGCTTCCTGCCCTCTCGTTGAATGCATGGAGAGGTGCGGAGACATGCTCGCTGCCTCCACATCTGAGTGATGCGATCGAGCAATGTGCTGCTGATTTTCTGCATCCTTTTTGAGTGTCTCGGCTGAAACGCCATGCTGTCGTGCGATGTGCTTGGCTTTGACGGTTTCAAACCGATGCTTCATACTCTCCTGCAACACATGTCATCTTGGTTCACCTAGTCAAGGCTCATCTCGACTGACTTCAGGTGCCTCCATCTTCAAGCTCGACGTCGCTGACTCTCCGAGCTGTGCCAGCACCACCATCACGAGCGCCGAAGCCATCCTCGCCACCCTCCTCGCCCCCTCTCCTCTGGCCAGTCCCGGCATGATGTGGCACACCCCCTCATCCCACCTCCAGCCCAACATTCCCTTCACCACCCGTAACCCCCTGTTGACCCCTCTTTACCACCCCTGCTCGACAGACTCTCGAAAGTTCTGTCATGCCACCGCTTTCACTTCGTTGCGCTGACTGCGGATCACAGGCAAGCTCCCCTCCTCCTCCCTCCCTTCCCTCCACCCCTCCTCCTTCCCTTTCCTCCACCCCTCCTCCTTCCCTCCCTTTCCTCCACCCCTCCTCCTCCTCCCCTTTCCTCCACCCCTCCTCCCTCCCTTTCCTCCCTCCCTCCCTCCATCCATCCATCCCTCCTCCTTCCCTTTCCTCCACCCCTCCTCCCTCCCTCCCTTCCCTCCACCCCTCCTCCTTCCCTTTCCTCCTCCCTCCCTCCCTTTCCTCCACCCCTCCTCCCTCCCTCCCTTCCCTCCTCCTTCCCTCTACGCGTACGCTTTTCATTCCTTTTCCTCGTTCTCATTTCACGTTCTGTGTTTGTTATCATGATGTGCATCGCAGCTCAAGGATGCCAACGAGGCTCAAGCGCATGCAGAGCTCACTGGCCACACAAACTTCGAGGAGAGCACGGAGCCGGTCCTGTGCTCGATGTGAATCAGCATGAGGCTGCTCTGACATGATCTCCAGGTCCTCCAACTTGTTTGCAAAGCATGCGGGAAGCCATGCAGAAGCGATACGGAGAAGACGCTGCATATGCAGAGGAACCCGGGACACACAGAGTTTGTCGATAAGACAGGAGAGAACCAGAGTGGCGTCTCGTATGAACTTGAAGCAAAAGAGGCAGATGATGAAGAGTTGAAAAAAGCTCTTGCTCTTTCCATGGGAAAGAATCCAGAAGATGCAACAGGTGATTACAAGTCGCCTGAAGCCTTATCATGATTGATTTCCTTCTGATTCGCCAATACAGGAGGAGAGGAAGTGATGATGGAGCGAGTGACCGACAAGGTGAACAAGGAATTGCTCGAGCAGCTCGTCGAGATGGGTTTCTCCGACATCAGGGCAGAACGGGCACTGTGGACGACTGGAAGCAAAAGCCTTGAAGAGGCTGTCACATGGCTCGCTGAACACAGCGAAGACAAGGAGATCGATGAACCTCTTCTTGTCCCGGCTGGCGCAAAGCCAAAGCTGAGCAAAGAAGAGCAAAAGCAGTTGTTGGAAGAGCGACTCGCAAAGATAAGAAAGGTTACAAATGGCTTGCTATAGCGAAGATCTTATTTCGAACCAGGACAAGGAAAGACAACAGAAGGAATTGGAGAAGCAGCAGGAGATGGCTCGCATTGCATCCTCCAAGGAGATGAACGAGGTCTCCTGGCCCTGACTGTCTGCTTGTCGTCTCCTTCTCTTCTTTCTGACACGAAATTCTCCAGGCAAGGCGCCTGCAGAAGGAACAAGAAGAGAAGATCGCGTTGGAAAAGGCTCGGCGTGAGAAAGAGCGTGAAGCGAGGGATCGGGCGCGTGTCAAGGTTTCGAGTGAGCTGAGGCGCTGCTGGACTAAGCCACTGTGAAGGCGGAGCTAGAGAAGGACCGCATGGAGCGATTGGCTGCTCGGGGGATCCGGCCAGAGCAGAAGGACGAAGTTGTCAAGGTGTTGACCTGCTTGACTTTCCGGCTCGTTCTGATCATGATGCCCTCGCCTAGACCGCTGCCGACCCGTCAGCTCTCCGATAAGTTTGCCTGCCTCTGATGCCTCTGCAGGTACAAAGAGCGAAAACTTGAACTGAGCACAAAACTCCGAGATCTCATTGCAACGTATCGCAACGACCCGACATCTCCAAATCCTGGAACGAAAGCTCTCGAGACAGCGGTATCAGGGAAATACGTGTGGGAGGAAGGAGAGGAGGATAGGGAGAAATCGTGAGCCCTGCAGAGAGATGATGATGCAGAAGCTTTGGACGGAAGCGGATGTCGGGAGCTGTTGGGGAGACGTAACATTGATCTGACTTTCCTTGTCAGTGTAAATATGTGGAGAACGTCGTCAATAACCCCAACGAAGACAAGTATCGCAGCATCAATATTGAGAATGCCGCGTTTCAGCGTCTGGTGGGATCAAAGGAGGGAGGGTTGTCGATGATGAAGGCCATTGGCTTTGAAGAGGTTGACGGCAGGTGACTCTCTTTCGACTTCTGTTCCCTCGCTCACGTTCCTCAAGACTCTCGCTTGCTGCTGTCGACATGGAGTGGCTCAAGCAGGCTCTGGTGGAGGTGCAGCTTGCGGTGAAACGTGGACCCTTCTACTAAATTATCCAACAAATTGCTACTGAACCGTTGTTGATGAATGAAGAATCACGGTTCCCACACTGGCAGCATGTCGCGGGCAGTCCCCGCCGGGATCTCCGGCCGGGCCGGACGGCCGCCGCCGCCGTGACCGTCTCATCGTGACGTGACCGCCGGCGGCCGGGCCCGCCGCGGAGTCCGATCCCCGGGCCCGGGGGGGGCCTGGCCCGTGGCAGTCGGACTCAAGCAGCGTGACAACGCCGACTCGAGGCGGGCCTGCGGCGGGTCAGGGCCGGCGTTGGCGAGCGTCCAACGGCTAATGGCTTTCTGACGAGAAGAGGGATAGAGGAGGAGGGGCAGAGGCAGAGGCAGAGGCAGAGGCAGAGGCAGAGGCAGAGGCAGAGGCAGAGGCAGAGGCAGAGGCAGAGGCAGAGGCAGAGGCAGAGGCAGAGGCAGAGGCAGAGGCAGAGGCAGAGGCAGAGGCAGAGGCAGAGGCAGAGGCAGAGGCAGAGGCAGAGGCAGAGGCAGAGGCAGAGGCAGGGCTATAGATAGCGAAGAAGAGAGCCAGGAGAGGGAGGGAGGGAGGGAGGCAGAGGAGGGGAGCTGAAGAGAAGGACTCTCGTACGCAAAACAAAATGCGGTCAGACCAAGGGATTCGCATAGTGGACGAGATAGTACGGAGAGATGCCGCCTTCTGTCAGGGGTTGCTGCACTCGCTTGGCATCAAGAACGACACGGCAGAGGTGCTGCTGTCACGTCAAGGTCTCGAGGAACTATGCGACATGTCGCATCTCAAATGCCTCGAGGCGCTTTGGATCAACAACAACAAGCTGAAGTCGATTCGCGGACTAGACAGCAACGTACAGATCAAGGATCTCTACGCATCTAGCAACCTCATCGACACATTGCAGGGCTCCTTGCGCCACCTTAAGTACGTCCGAATCCTCTCGCTCAACAAGAACAAGCTTGCAGATCTGGACAAAGTGCTTGCAGCGATCTCACACTTGACGAGCTTAGAGGAACTCGGTACAGTGCCTCATGTCTTCTCCTTCAAGCTGACTCTCATGTCTTCTCAGATCTCTCCGCAAACCCCGTCGCTAACGAGCTTTTTTACCGCGAGCGCATCATCTACACCTTTCCTAATCTTTTGGTCCTTGACCGCCACATGGTGACGCCAACCGAGCGTGAGAGCGCGAGGGTTCACTTCGAGGGGAAGGTCTCGACCAACTTGAGCTTCATGCGCACAAAATCCTTGTGGAAGAACCCGCCACGACAGAAGATCGCCTCGCTGTCCATCCTCGCAAAGGAGATGTACCGGGAAATCGAGCAGAGGAAAACTAGACAGCATGGAGACCATGCTTCGCCAGGTCAAGCAGCTCCAGCTGAGCCACGACCTGCAACAATGCATGGTGATCAAGCAGCGTAGAGAAGAAGGAAGACTGATGACGCGATGCACAGCAGGAGGAGGAGGGGTGAAGCATGATACCTTCAAGTTCAAGAGATTTGTGTCACCGGTATGCGTAAGAGATGGCGACATGCGATGATGAGATGCGCAGAGCTTGTCGCTCACCAGGCCTCAGCTTGAGTTGTCCTCTTCGCTCTCATTGCGGACGGTCAGCAAGAAGCGGGCAGAAGGCATCACCATTGACGAGGTCCTGCGCTCCTGCTGTCAAGCTCTTGACTGATGCATCGCAGAGGCGATGGAAACTTTACCAGGAGAGAAAAGCGTTGGAGCAGCAGCCCACCAGACTGGAAGAAAGCGAGTTGATGATTTGAGAGCTTAGGGGATGAGGAGACGGAATGCGCATGTCCTCATTCAAAGGCAGCTTCGGGATCGAACATTTCCTGCGCAGTTGAGGCTGCCTGTGTGGCAAGACCGAGGAAAGTCTGCTTGAGGTGAGGTGAGGCAAAGAGGAGGAGAGCATTTCCCCGATGGGAGCATTGAACCTCAACCATCTTCTCTTCTACCTGCGGGTCAGGAAAGAAGTTTGTCTTGACGACAAAGCGGGCACTTGCAAGGCTCCACTTCTCCTCCACCACCTCATGCCTCCTCCTCGCCCTCAGCCATCCGCCAACGAGCTCCACTTCCTGCTCCTGCCAAGTCTCTGAGCCGATGTCCTCCTCGCGTGTGAGGAGAAGCAGGTCGTTGAACAGCAGGAGCCGTCGAAGAGGTTGGGCGACCTCCTTGGGGCTCGCAGACCCCTGGAAGAGGGAGGCAGACAAGGCTGAGACTCTCTGATGCGGGCTCATCACCTCCACTGTCTCCTCCATCAACTTCCTCCGATGCGCCGGCAGCCACTCGACCCGCGACATCCTCCACCCCTTAGGGCTGCAAGCTCCACACGCTAGATACGCTCCCTCCACTGCAAGCCCGTCGTCTTCCTCCATCAAAGAAGCGGTCCTTGTTGTGTTGCTTCCCCTCCCTTGGTCTACAATGAGAGCATGCAGTCTCAACAACTCAAGGAGTTCGCTGGATGTTCGTCCCTCCAGCATCTCAAGCTGATGCGTCAGAGTCTCTGAAAGGAGAATTCTCGTCAGAGAGCATCCTCTCTACATCTCGACTCTTATTCGTCGCCTCTCGACATGTTTCTAAAGTCCTTCCTCCCCTCCTCTCACCTTGCCACTCTCTCCACTCGCTCAAAAGCACGACGTCCGGATGTCCAGCAGGAGTTGCTTTCCTGATGGCCAAGCTGACTTCAAGAAAGTCTTGCGAGCATCGCAGAGGGGCAACAAGATGGAGGGCGAGGGCGAGGGAGGAAGAGGAGAGGACTGAAGCTTCTAACGACGATAAGAAGCACAGAAAGCGTCGGTGACGAAGAGCTGAAGGGTAAGTGAACAACATAAGATCGAGAGGATCGGGAACACAAAGGCACCTTGAGAGAATGCTGAGCAGGCAGGAAGCAGTTGATAGATGCACAAGCACATCTCTGAGATCCATCTCTCAATAGCAGGACAACAGATGGCAAGGCTACAATTTCAAGGTCATGAAGAATGAGAATGCATTCAATGACACCTCAAGCTCGGCGAGTCGAGGCGACAGAGACCGAGAGATCGCAAGGCAGCAGAGGAAGCGACCAACAAAGACTCGGAGTTCATCGCGATCATCTTACAAATCATTTGATTCATCGTCCCCCATTCTGTTCGAAGGACTGGACGAAGAAACAAGAAGTGCAATGCATTGCAACAATCAATACATTCTTTCATGATGCCCTCGAGTCTTTGAACACATTGAAATCGCATTTCAAAGATCTCGGCCATGGCCGTCAGTTGTTTTTCGCTTCTTGAGATTTCTGCCTGAGCAACATAGGAAAATGACAAGTTTACGATCACTAAAGCAATCAATAGCAAGAGTGTGACATCTCACCATCATTGTATCTTGCAGATTTTCTAGCAGCATCTTCTTCTCAACTTTCTTCACCGGAATCGCTAGAAATGAAATTTCTGTCGACTCACTCATCGTGAGCTGCAGAGCATCACTCGTGAACAAGGACAGGAGAACAGCTTGACCAGCCGTAACTCGCACAAGTCTGACGTCCGTCTTCGTGTCTTGAGCTCTTGCAGCAATCCATGCGCTCCCTTCTTCGATGACCATGAGATTGTTAGCGGCGATCTGAGACAGCAGAGCTGGACAGCTTCTCGAGACGCTCCTTCTGGTGGCGATGAATGCAAGTTGGAGCAGCGACGTATGTGAGAGAGAAGAGAAGACAGGAATCGATGTTGCTAGGCTCTCACCAAGACGCTGATGCACATCCAGTAGAAGCAGAGCGACAGAGCGAGCAAACCGTGTGCGATCAAACTGACGAACAACTCCTGCTGTCTTGCCCCAGGCCTTCACAGCGTACGAAAACCTCATCGCCTCCTTCATTGCCTCAGGATCTAACCCCAACGTCTCCCCACTCGCAACAGCAGAACAAGAGCCAAATGTAGATCCTTGTCCTATCACTTTGTACTGCTCATCGCCGTCCTCTACTTGGCAGTCTTGACGAGCCGTCCCGGACACGTTTCTTGAAATCACAGCAACCTCGCCAGTCACTACCAAGAAGAATGGACCCAACCTGCGATTCCTCGTGTCGATGATGGGATCATGCGGGGCGAATCGAATTCTCTTGGAGGAGGAAAGGAGGAGAGGCACATGCGAGGGCTCCAACTTAGACCATGCTGAGTTCACTCTCATCGCAGCCACGAGCTCTCCTGACTCGTCTGATCCGTCCGTCAGCTCGGATGGCGGCCGGATGCTCTGCAGTCTTGATTTATCATCGACACTGCATTCTGTCGTCCCCGTAAGATCAGAGCATGAAGAGAGAGGCTGGCGCTCTTGCGTGCAAAGCTCGTTTATGAGGAAATGGCGCAAGGCGACGATGACGTCTTTGACCTTGTCTTTAGCAGTCAGCGACGAGGTGGCTTGGCTGGCCTCGCCTTCTCTCTTGACCTTGTCTTTAGCAGTCAGCGACGAGGTGGCTTGGCTGGCCTCGCCTTCTCTCTCGAGCAAGCTACGTGACAAGCTACGTGACACCTCCCATGCTCTTCTCCTCACCCTCTCTGACCTCCCCAACTCTTCCACCATTGCTAGCGCTGCCTCTTTCCCGGCCATGAAGAGTTTCAGGGGTCTGCCACTCCAAGACCATCCAAGGACGGGTGTATGACCAGTTGCAATAGGGGGTAGGGGTAGGGAGGGGGTAGGGGTAGAGAGTAAAGAAAGGGCTTGTGAGGTTTGCAAGGTAGACGAAAGAATGGGGTGGTGGCCATGGGGCGAGGAAGAGAAGAAGATGAAGGCAACGTCGCGAGTGGCTTGCTACGACAGCAGAGACGAGTACTTCTTCTGTCTTGGTAAGTGCCTGCTGAGACGGCGACTCGCATATGAGACGCTTTCACGCTCATGTCAAGCTGACCTCTGTTTGTCTCGTTTCCATTGATCAATTCTACTCGTCTGGTTGCTTGAGTTGCTTATTCCGATGTTGCTTCGCATGCGCCACATACATCGATAAGCTTTTTGGTATGTCTTTTGAGCCTTTGCTTTTGAAGATGAGCACGGAGAGGAAAGTTCGAAATGCAAGCAGCTTGAGAAGAAGGTGACATTTCTCTTAAAACATGTTTCGAGGTTTTTGATGCAAGGATGGATGCAGTATAAACAGTCTTGCATGCAAGCGTGGGTGAAGTATTTCAACGTGCAACGCGAAAGGTTGAAAGCTCAAGGAAAACCATGGACCTCACCGAACATGGAGGGTCAGCATGCAAGTTTGAATCCCGAAAGACCATGATGTCAAATAATGCTGTACAAAGATCTTGTGGGACAGTGTGGGATAAATCACGTGATGTCCTCTACTTATGTTGGCACAGCAGAGGCTTTTGGGATGCTGACCTCTCATTGCACGACTGTGCTTTTATTAGTATGGTCTCAACAAATCAGTTCTTTAGCGACTAGTCCTCGACCAGCAACTACCATTCTTTTCACTTCTCCTACATCGCCATACTCGGATGCGCTGTCTTCCTCTGAATCAAGCAGATCCTGAAGCAGCCGGCTGCTAGAAAGAGCCCCTAAGATATCGGAATCTTGCTGAGCATTCAAGTACTCATCTTGATCTAGCGCGCTGCTGTCATCGATGAGCATTTCTCGCCGGAAGAGCTCGAACTCGTCTCGCTGAGCTTTTGCACGAACATGATTATTCGACAGCGACTTCTGCTGTACCACTGCATGCAGGCTGGAGGAGGCACCTTCACCGCCAACGTTCCTCCTTGACAGCGAGCCGGGCAGCCCCCTATGGACCAGAGGCCTCTCCTGCTGCCGTTTGTCAGCCTCCACCTGAGCAGGGCCGCTCATCCTCGTGCTGCCGTTGAAGGAGATAGCTGGAGGGTTTGGCATCACTCCGCTGCTGAGCCGCTGACCTGGCCATGCTGAAGCACTCATTCCCACAGGCACCTGAATGCTTCCTGTGCTAAGAATAGGGTTGGGATTGATCGCTGGGCCCGGAGAAACATTGTAATGGCGAACAGAAGACTGGGTCTGGGATGCACGGGACCTGAGCACGGACTCGTAGTGCTGAAGTTGAATCATGAAACCTTCATTCGGCTGGACAATGGGCCGTCCACTCTTGACCTGCATGAGAGCCTCTTGCAGCGTGTAGTTCTCAGTGTCCATCAAGTACGCAATGACACAGGTTGCCGACCTTGACTTACCCTCGATACAATGCACGAAAACAGTGCCACCATATCGCTTAGCATCATGAATGAAACTTGACGTCTCCGGGAAGTACTGCATGATGTTCTGGGAAGGAGTGTCGGTTAAGGGAAGAGACTTGTAGTAGAAGCGCTGCAGAGACGTGAGATGGTGATCTAGCGATGCAGCAGAATTGGAACCTGGGGAAAGAAATTCGGACATTTCGACGAGGCCAGATTCAAGATGTGCGTCACTCCGTATGATTTCAAGCAATTCAAGTCTTGCGCAGCGTTGACATTTCCAACAAGAACCTGCCACTGCAATCATATTTCAAGCACTTGATGCAAGCGACAACCTGCTGGGCTACCCAATCGATGCTACTCATAGCCTTCCTTTCAATGCGAGAGAAATTCAAATCCATGTCATCTGCGACAGGTCCGATACCATCAGAGTCCAGCCGGTCTCCAGCTGTGTTCAGTTTTCTCACGGTAATGGTGCTCAACAGTCAAGGTTCAGAAAGACCATGTGAATACATATTCCGTGAAGCTAGCATCATTGGTAAAACCTTCCTGCGATCTTCCCTTCCCTTCCCTCTACCTACACCAGCTACTCTCCCAGATTTGGCTTGCCTTGATTAACAACTTTGACTTGGGCATCCTCCCTATCTCTTCGTATTTGCTTTCTCCCTCCCAATTCCTCCCATTCCCTCTATCTGCTGCTTTCCCACCTTTTGCTTCCCTCTCATCGAATGGCATGTATCTCTGATTCTTCACTCCTTCCTTCAGTCCTCTTGCCCTTCCTTCCCAAATCTCCTTGACTTCTTCTGCTTGTTCCATCCGGCCTCTCTTGCTGCATCGTCACTTCCTTCGCGCTCTTCTCCCCTCCCTCCACGTCATCCCTCGGCATGCAGCGGAATAGCTGCCGAAGGCGAGCCTATCACCGTTACGAAGACCGTTGCAGGTAACCGTTGACCGGTGATTGTTTTTACCTTTCAAGTGGTAGGTTTCCGAGTTCTGAGGCAGGCCCATCCTAAGCCAGTTGACCCGGGGCACGACCGTACCAACTTGCCAACTCCGTTGACCCCTACCCGCCGCTAGAATGCTCAGCGGCTCTTCCCACTGTCCAAAGGCACTTCGAGTCTACAGGCCGCGTTACTATCCGATGATATGTGGGGCCCCGAGCACCCGGATGATGATCTCCGAGTCTCGAGACTGACTCACGGTCCGATCAGTGGTGCCGTGCGAAACCAACGATCCGATCAGATGCCAGGCTTTATTTGAATTAAAGAGGCTCACCCGGTGACTTTTTGCCGAAAAAAAAGTGCCTCAAGCAAAACAAACACACACAAAAAAACAAGAGCAAAAGTAACCAGAAGCCGCGCAGACCCTCCGTCCGCTGCCCCAGGCGGACCCCCGGGCAGCGCCGGCCGCTCCTTGTCGGCGGCTGCCCTTTCTCCATCCGCGGCCGCCCGCTTTGTGGCGGCAGCCAGGACGTCTCGACTGACCGTGGCAGTGGTCAGTCGGCTGCCTCCGGGTATCGCGTCTAAGGGATGTTATTCCTCCTGCATGCTCCTGCTGCTTGTTGCTTGATTGCCTGACCCTTCGGCTGCTTGTCTGCGCGGCTTCGCGCTTGGGCTGGCGGTGCCGCGTCTGGATGCCAGCCGCTGAGTGCTGGTTCTTTTCGGGCTTGTGTTTTGTGTGTCACGGCCCGCCGCATTCCATGGCATTTTCTAATGCTCGCTTTTGATCATTTTCGAGCGGGGTACCTCAGCCCAGGATTTTTGAATGGTCGGCGCACTGAAAATTTGTACCAGAAACTTCGATAATGGTTGAAAGTATGTTTGAATCGGGGACCGTGTCGAGCAGTTTTAGGTTTACAAGTATTCTTGCTTCCTCCAAACAACAAGGTTTCAAACATTAAAACTATTTTTGACCTTACACGCTTTTACACGCCTGGGGGGTGCATATACGACCAAATCGCCTGCCCTACCCTTCCCCCATTGCTGCATCCGCACCCGCCGGCGCAGGCGGCGTTTGTTTGCATCCCAGATGGCTCTCAGCCAATGGCTCTTTCATCGTATTCAAGCTCCAGGCCATCCAAGGTTGGATCATGTGTGAATGTTTGTACTTTTTGCGGCATACTGCAAGACGACGTTTCAAACAGCTCGAGCTTGTTTTTCAAAGGAAGCTGTAGGAATCAGCATCACCATGGATTCTAGAGCCTAGGGCTGTTTTCGAATCCTTTTGATGCTCATTGCAAGATGGAGAATTTGCTCGTTTTTGGTGATCAAGCATCCACAACCCTCTTTCGTATGATTGAGCTTCGAGCACATCTCTGACTGTAGAGTTGTTTGGTGTCAAGATTGTTTCTCGTAAAGGATCTCTCTGATTAGGCAATTGATTGTTGTTTTGGTTGGCATTCTACAAGACCCATACTTCCTCCTCTCTGTGTCAACCAAGCACATAAGCATAAGGCATGTCAGTCGTGTAGGCAACTTGATTGCAAATAGATCGCAAGTGTAAGATCGATGAACTATTCAACGCCATGAATGCCGGATGTGAAAGAACTTCCCTCAGGACTTTTCAGTATCAGAACCAGCGAGCTAAGACATAAGGTAGAGTCTCCATTGAATATCATTCCTGCGAATGTAATGTTTTTATCAGTTGTAGGGAACAGAAGCATGGAGACAAGCGGGTGCCCAAGCGAATAGGAACATCTTGCGGATGTAGGTTTGGACAAAGGCGGCGATGATTCCGAGGTTGTGAAACAGGCAGCGAAAAGATGCTGAGGTTTTCGGAGTTCATAAACATGGCTTGTGACGAGCATGTCACACGCAAAGCGATGGAAAACAACAAACAAAAATTGTAAAGCAATCGAAAGCAACGAAAATCAATGGAAAACAACAAACAAAAATTTTTCTCAAAGGTCTCACTCCTTGACTTCAACCACTGATTGAACATCTTTTTGACCTCGGTCATATCTCGACAAATCCGATTGTACTCCGCCGCTGAACAGAAAGTTGTTTGCGCCATCTTTTCAACGAGTGGTGCCGGGTTTGCAATCGAGAAGTGAGAGATTTTACAGTATTTATTATTTTCGATGTCGTCTTCATGAAAAAATATATACCCATGCACTCTGAAATTATCGTGGAGATCATCGTTGGCATGCTCCAACATGCAAGGAAAGCTGAAGAAACACATTTTTGGTATAGCATTTATTTCATCCGTATCCTTGTAAATTGCTTGATAACAATCACGGTTTCCAACTTTGTTCAAAATTCTTTTCAGGGCCACACAGGGCACTCGATTAGTTATAATGGTTTCGTCTACATGTTCCAAGAGGACTCCATTGTACATGATGTACACATCGACAACCTGTGCATCTGAGTGCAGCGATTTGATCATGCCCAGTCGATTCACTTCAACGCCCCTGTGATCTTCACACTGATATTGAACCCCTGTGCCAGGCTCAAGCATAATATTCAAATTACTGCCTGGCTTTTTCCAGTACATCCTGGGCAAGTCTCGATCATCAACTGACGTATGCAGGATCATTCGAAGCTTCAAATCTTCAGGTGTCTTTGACTCATCACAAGTCTCTTCCTGCTCCAAGAATGTATCGAAATCTTCCTGCCTTCGCCTTCTCTGAATTCCATTTGTTGCTGATACACGACGGTGAAGATTCATTTGTTTGGTGTCTATAACTGGAGCGCAAGGGAAAGGGAAGCAACGGGGAGGGAGGGGAACAGGGGGAAGGGAGGGAGCAGGGAGGAAGGGAGGGGAGCAGGGAGGGAGGGAGGGAGGGAGAAGAGCAGGAAGGAGGAGGGGAGGGATACTTGCAATGGGGATCTCAGGATTTTAATGAAAATTATTTGCTCTTTGATCGGGGGCAAGGGGACCTGTGTTTCGGTGGCACCCTATAGACATGGGGTAGGTATCTATATAAAACAACCGGTGTAGAAAAAAAAGATTGCCGTTGCTAGCTGGCATACGACTCCTTAATTTGAAAACAAAAATACTTATTGGCTAGATTTACTACACTCGTCAATGGCTGACACTAATAAGATTTCATGAGCGTGTATCGAAATATACGAATAACCCTACCCCCTCCATATCAGACAAACATACCGGTACACAGGGAAGAGAGCAGCCAAGAGGCGTGTAAGCCGGAACTCAAATGCTTAAAACAAATATAAAAGAGTACTGAGTGGTACAAATCATTCTGGTACAAAATTGACTAAAAACTGTATGCTTATGATCAAATTAACAGGTACAAGTGTTTGTTAAAAGGATATTAATTTATAATTGGGCATTAGTAAATGCCATGGAATAGTTTGTGCAGCTTCTCGCTGTGCGCTGTGTGCCTGGAGGTTTAGCTTGTTCCTGCTTTGTTTTGCTTGAGGCACTTTTTACCTTCTGCCAGTAAATCGGACTACTAGTTCTTGCGGCCATGAGGATGGGAGGGTACCTGCCGTCGAGAACGAGGATCCCCGACTGTATCGATGACGCTCTGAAGACCAGCTTCGTTCAGCATCGACCGAATCGTACGAGTAAGGTTGTCATGCGCCGTGGAAGCTTGGAGGATCGACGTTTGCAGGTCTGGAGATGATGTGCAGCAACGGAGGGATCGAGCTCGCGCTGACATCCATCACATTCCGTCGTCGGACACTGGCAGATCGGCATGCCATGGAGATCGGATAGCAGTCGAGCATCTGAGCATACGAGACTCGCATCGGAGAGTGGCTGAGGTCTCGCTCAGGAAAATGAGCCGCAAGATGGTAGACTGCAAGACCCTATCCTGCGGTTGACCTGCCCCTACTTGGTCAGGTCGGCAGAGCTACCAATGTAAGGGTGGACCAACGTCACGTCACTTTTTACCTTCTGCCAGTAAATCCATTGTCACGTCCGCCATCAAGCCCTCGTACTGCTCGGACCCTCGATCGCGGATTCCCTGAGGGATGTGGATATCGCCCTTCATCTTGCGGCCATGAGAATGGGAGGGCACCTGCCGTCGAGAACGAGGATCCCCGACTGTATCGATGACGCTCTGAAGACCAGCTTCGTTCAGCATCGATCGAGCGGTACCGTGTTCGGGTCACGCCGGTCCTTGGGCCTTGCTGCGGCGTCGCCGCCGTCACGGGCGGCTCCCGCTGACCGTACTCGGCTACCGCTGACTCGGAGGCTAGCGAGGAGGACTACCTCGAGCGGTACCGTGTTCCTGTGTCCAGCCTCCCTCCGTCCGCTGCCCCTGGCGGACCCGTCCGCGGCCGCCCGCTTTGTGGCTGCAGCGGACGTCACAGTGAGGGACGGAGACGCTTGGCCAGCTCCGCGCCGATCGTCGGCGCCACTCGACGTGTTTCCCCCATCGGAGTCGGAGACCTCCGGCGAAGACTCCCCCTCGGGCGACTCGACAAAGTCCGAGGAGGAGCTGTCCTCTGGCTCGAGAAGTGCTTGCGCCCGCAAGGGCGTCATGCGCCTCGCACCAGACAAGAGCGCCTCCAGCGTCAGCTGCATAGTGAGGCGCTGATAGGTGGCGGCGCGTTTGCGAGCCAAGACCTCAGCAGCACTGAGTATAGGATTTACTGGCAGAAGGGAAAAACAGGTCCGTTCTTTGTTTTGCTTGAGGCACTTTTTACCTTCTGCCAGTAAATCCAATCACCCGTCATCAGGCACGAAGTGCCGACCAAACGCCGCATCCTCAAGAGGCATCGAGCGCTGAGCAATGATGTCCGCCAAATACCAGATGAAGCGGAGGGTGTCAGGATGCAGGGTACCGTCCGTCGAGATGGCAAGAGGGATGAACGCTCGAGGAGGAGTAGTGATAGCATATGCAGCGCGATGTTTGCGAATCTTCTCAGACGCTGCAACATGGAGGGCGTCCGTCGAGGTTGACCTCCCCCCACTTGGTCAGGTCGGCAGAGCTACCAATGTAAGGGTGGACCAACGTCACGTCCGCCATCAAGCCTTCGTACTGCTCGGACCCTCGATCGCGGATTCCAGGGATGTGGATATCGCCCTTCATCTTGCGGCCATGAGGATGGGAGGGTACCTGCCGTCGAGAACGAGGATCCCCCACTGTATCGATGACGCTCTGAAGACCAGCTTCGTTCAGCATCGACCGAATCGTACGAGTAAGGTTGTCATGCGCCGTGGGAAGCTTGGAGGATCGGCGTTTGCAGGTCTGGAGATGATGTGCAGCAACGGAGGGATCGAGCTCGCGCTGACATCCATCACATTCCGTCGGACACTGGCAGATCGGCATGCCATGGAGATAGCAGTCGAGCATCTGAGCATAGCGGTGCGGGAAGGTCTTGAGGGGGTAGTAGCTCGAGACTCGCATCGGAGAGTGGCTCAGGTCTCGCTCAGGAAAATGAGCGAAGATGGTAGACTGCAAGACCCTATCCTGCCGGTTCAGCTTGTTCCTGCTTTGTTTTGCTTGAGGCACTTTTTATCTTCTGCCAGTAAATCCTATATATCTCTCTCTCTCTATCCTGCGACTTGAGCGAGTGTGTCCTGCGGCTGTGCAAGGTGAGGATATCACGCTGCTGATCGGTCAGCGCAGCGCGAGCATGCACATGGCGAGGGAAGACGCGCATGACAAGAGGGGTCACATTTCGCTGCGCAGCCTGGGGGAGGAATGAAGTGCTCATGTCGACGAGAGCGCGCAAACCAGGGATGTGTACCACAGATGCCGGGGGGCGTCCTGCGTCATCAGGCACAGCAGCCGGGGCAGGTGGGATCGCCGCGCCATCTGCAGCCGGTGCAGGAGCCTTGACACGACGGTAGAGGATCGCTCCAGCATTATGAACGAAGTCGTGCGCCTCAACGAAGAAGGTCGCCAGAGGATGCTTCTGGGCACGGAGAGATCTCGAGCAGTGAACGTCCAGGCTATGAGGAGAGGGCAAGGTCCGGGACATGGGCTGGTCAGAGTACCAAGCGAGGAAGCGAGCGATAGCCGTATAGTAAACAGCGGGGTGTAGACCCTCAGAGGGCGTGAACTCGTCCCCTCCCCGACTATGCGGAAGCTCCCGCTTGAACCTCGCAAACTCTAGCAGGTCGGGATGCGCGGCGAGGTACTGCGAGGAAGGCCAGCGGTGGTATTTCTCAAACGCCAGGTGGACAGAGAGGTCAAAGCGACGAATCTTTGATTGGACCCGCGGGAGAAACGGAGATGACCCCTGGAGGAAGAAGCGCAGCTTCTGGAGATGGCTCGCCCTCACCAGCGTCTTGAACATGAAGCCATGCTGGACGAGCCCGAGCTTCGAGAGCTCTTCGTTGAGGGTAGAAACCTTCGCTCGGAGCTGACTGACATAGGATTTACTGGCAGAAGGTAAAAAGTGCCTCAAGCAAAACAAAGCAGGAACAAGCTGAACCGGCAGGCACACAGGCCACAGCGAGAAGCTGCACAAACACACACAAAACACAAGCCCGAAAACAACCAGCACT